AATGCTTGTTATGATTTCAATTTTTCTAAATTTGTTGAGGCTTGTTTTGTGTCTTATGTGGTCTGTCTTTGAAAATGTTCCATGTGCATTTATAAAGAATGTGCATTTTGCTTCTTTGGGATGAAAGGTTCTATATATGCCAGTTAAATCCATTTGATCTAATGCATTGTTCGGTTCCACAGTATCCTTGTTTATGTTTTATTTGGATGATCTATCCATTTTTGACAGTGGGGTGTTAAAATCCCCTACTATCAGTGTGTTGCTGTCTATTTCTTTCTTGAAGTCCTCAAGATTTTCCTTACATATTTGGGCGCTCCTATGTTGGGTACATATAGGTTTACAACGTTTATGTCTTCTTGATGGATTCTTCCTTTGAGTATTATGAAGTGTCGTTCTGGGTCTTACTTTTTTAATTTTTATTTTTAAATCATGTTTATTCTATTACATTTGTCTCAGTTTTTCCCCCTTTGCCCTCTTCCACCCATCCCATCCCACCCCCCTCTCCCACAGTCAGTTCCCACTCTTGTCCATGTCCATGGGCCATTCATACATGTTCTTTGTCTAGTTCCTTTTCCTTCTTTCCACCAATATCCTCTTTCTCCATCCCCTCTGGTCACTTTCAGGCTGCTCCATGTTTTGATGCCTGTGGTTTATTTTGTTCATTAGTTAATTTTGTTGAATAGATTCCACTTATAGGTGAGATCATATGGTATTTGTCTTTCACCAACTGGTTTATTTCACTTAGCATAATATTCTCCAGTACCATCCATGTCGCAAAAGGTAAGAGTTCCTTCTTTTTTTTTTTTAATGCAGATTTTATTTATTTATTTATTTAGAAAAGTCAAAATCCATTATAAAATATTTAAAAATTTAAACCCATTATAAAGTCTCAGCAATTAAAACAACATGACACCAGCACAGAAATAATCAAGTAGATCAATGAAATAAAATGAGCATTCTAGAAACAAATGTATATCTCTATCTAATAATGTAATATATGATTAAATTGATATTTCAAATCAATGGGGAATATAAGACATATTCAACAAATAAAGTGCATGGACCACTATTACTTGAAATAAAACAAATATAGAGTCCTATTATACACATCATACAAACAGTATTTAGGTGAGTTAAAAATCAGTATGTAAAATCTAAGGAGTTTTAGGAGAAAGTACAAATTAATATTTTTTTTACCCTAAAGTAACATATTCAAACCCAGAAGCTCTAAAGTAAAGTATTGACAGTCTGACTATATTAAACATTTAAGACTATACAGTAAAATACATATAAAAAAAGTTAAAGGACATGTAATAGAATAGGAAAGTATTTGCAACACATCTAAAAAAGGGTTAATAGTTTTTTGGGTGTTTTTTTTAGGGAAAAAATTCTACAAAGATTTAATAAAAAAATGGATAAAGAATACCAAAAAAAGCCATTTAAAGCTTTTTAAAAATAATAGAAATAGGCAAGAAATACACAAAAACAGGTTTAGTTTCAACAAATAATAAAGTAACAATTAAAATAACACATCATTGTCTCAATCAGATTAATAAGTATTTAAAATATTGGTAATATCAAGTATTAGTAACTGTGAAAGGAACTGGATATTCATAGACTCTTTTTCTCCATCTTCTTAAAGCAGTACCTTTAACATATTTTGCAATGCTGGTTTGGTGGAGGTGTATTCTTTTAGCCTTCTTTTGTCTGGGAAGCTCTTTATTTCTTCTTCCATTTTACGTGAGAGCCTTGCTGGGTAGAGCAGTCTTGGTTGCAGGACTTTGCTTTTCATTACTTGGAATATTTCTGGCCATTCCCTTCTGGCTTGCAGTATTTCTGTTGAGAAGTCACCTGCTAGCCCTACTGGGCTTCCCTTATATATTACTACCTCTTTCCCCTTTGCTTCCTTTAGGATTCTCTGTTTGTCTTTGATATTTGCCATTTTAATGATGATGTGTCTTGGAGTGGGCCTCATTGGGTTCCTCTTGAATGGGACCCTCTGTGCTTCCTGGACTTGAGTGACTTTTTCTCTCTTCAAATTAGGGAAGTTTTCCATCATTACTTTTTCAAACAGGTTCTCTATCCCTTCCTCCTCTTCTCCTTCTGGTATCCCTATTATATGGATATGATTACATTTCAGGTTTTCCTGCATTTCCCTCAATACCTCTTCATTCTTTTTGAGTCTTTTTTCATTTTCTTGCTCTTTCTGGGAGCTTTTTTCTACCTTATCATCCAGCTTGCTGATTCGATCCTCTGCTTGATCTATCCTGCTTTTGATTCCGTCTGCTGTGTTCTTCAATTCAGAAATGGTATTCTCCATTTCCTCTTGTCTCTTATTGATAGTTTCTATGTCCTTTTTCATGCTGATATAGTTTGCAATAAGTTCCTTGTAGTTTCCCTGTAGTTTTTTGTAATTCTCTCTGAGCTCACTGAGCTCATTGATCTTCCTTAGAACTGCTGTTTTGAACTCAGTATCTGATAGTTAACTTGTCTCTATTTTATTTAGTTCTCTTTCTGAGGATTCTTCCTTTCCCTTTGACTGTGGTTGGGGAGGGGGGGTTGTTTCTTTGTCTTCCCATTATTTGTGAGACTCATTTTTTGCTTCTCCTTCTGAAATTGATCTGTCTTGACTTCCTGACTTATATGGTAGGAGATTGCTGTTTTTTCTTTCTGGATCTGCTTCTGATAATGCCAGATGTTGACTGTGTCTGACCTTAGGCAATCTGTTCAAGATTTCCAGGAATCTACTGTCTGGCTGTCTCCTTCAGTTGTTAATCTAGCCCAGGCTGTCCAGTATTAAGTGTAACTATTGGGTAGGATAATCCAACAGCCTCACTGCCCTCTGGGCAGCTGTTCAGTCAGGTGCTCCTCCTGATACAGCCGACCAGTAATGGCCAGGACAGTGTACTTATGTGGTCCTCTTCTTTCCATATCCCCTTCTTTCCACTTGAATGGACTTGTCCCTCCAAAAGTTTTTAAGTTTCAACTCTAGTTTCATGAGAAAAGTTTTGCCAGCTCCCATGCTGTGGAACATTTTCTTCCTCAGGTCTAGAGGAATGGTAGGCAGAAGTATTTGGCTTTTTTATTTAAAAAAAAAAGTATTTGACCTTCTTTATGTTCTCTTGCTCTGTCCTCCTGATTCATCTATTTGTAGTCTTTCTCCTCCTATTTGCTGGTCTCTGGTTCTTCATTTTAGTCTTTCCTCTCTTCTTGCCCCTCCTTTCCTTCTTTTGTTCTTTTCTCTCAGCTGCCATTTTACTTTGCCCTCTGTCATTTTAGAGCTTGCTTAGTTTGAATTCTTGCCTTGAGAAACCTTTCAATTACTTGCTTTTTGTACTCTTTTCTCTCCTTTGTTCCTTATGTTTGGAGAGAAGGGGCTGAAACATTCTTTTCTTTCTTCATCACTTTATTTAACTAATATTTGAAACCTACTTGGGTAAGATACTATGCCAGGTTCTGGGCTACCTCAGTAAATAAAACCCCCAGGTTCTTAGTTGGGGAGACAAAGAGGTTGAGTGTTATTCACTCATGCATGCATTCATTCAGCAAATATTTGAGACTGGATACAGTGGTTGGCAAAAACAAAAATTCTTTCTTTCATGGAGCATACATTTTGGTAAGACAGACATACATCAAGTAAATGATTATACAAACAAATGTTAAATTATAGCTATGTTGAGTCCTGTGAAGGACAACTCCATAGTGCTGTGAGAATACATTTAGAGGGATTTGTTCTCATCAGTAGAGCTAGGGACAGCCTTCTTAAGGAAGTGAAGGGTAAACTGAGATCTTAAGGCACAAGAATTAAGTAGGTGAAGGCAGCAGGGAAGAGGTAAAAGTCCAGTACTCAGAGGTGGCTTGGAGTATTTGAGGAAGTGGAAGCATGTGGAGCAGGATGGAATGAGGCTGAATGAGGCTAAAGAGGCAGGCTGAGGTCAAATCCAACAGGGTTTGGTGGGTCCTGTTAGGGACTTGGGTCCTTATTCTATGAGCAATGAATGGATACGATTGAAGTGCTGTAAGCAAGGGCAAGGGGGAGAAAAGTATAAAACATACCTTTATTTTTGAAACAATCTGAATTCTGTAGAGGATAAATGGAGTTTAGCGTGGGTGTAAGTGAGGGAAAGGATGTGGGAGTGCCAGTTAAGAGGCTGTTGAAGTAGTCCAGATGAGAGGTGAGGGCAGGGGTCAGCAAGGATTTTAAGTTTCCAAACCTACCCTTACTTCCTAGTAAATGAATTTAACCCCAAAATTGTTTTTGAATGTTGACTTACACAGATATGATAAAACTGAAGTTCACTCAGATGAGAAATGGATGATTTAAACAAAAAGGGGTTACAAGTGGAACTATAGCATATAATCTAGGATAAAAATGATGACTGAGCTCAAGTTTAAAACTTAGCTCTGAGCTGAAAGAATAGTATACGTTATGTGATTCTTTAAGAAAAGGAAGCATGCTAGTTAAGTAGAGAATATAATCTTTCCCTTATAAACATTTATACTTTACTATAGAATTGGTATTAAACAACCTGGATGGGTCCGGATTATTAAAACCCAAGACTTCAGTTCTTGTGATCATGGCAATAATCCATTTTTGGCAATTGGTTACATTGATATTTCAAAGAGTAAAAATTTCTGAAAATTCTAGAGCTGAACTACGTAAGTCCATTTCTTACTAGACCTTTTGCATCAGAGGGAAAGCATAGGATAGGAGAGGAGAGCACATTAGAAATACAGACCAGGTAAGAAGCTTACAATGCGTCCATGGGCAGGAAGTAAACCCTTAAATTTATTTCCTTGATGTCCTTCCCTTTTTCCTCCACAGATACTTTTTTTCTTTCCTGTTTCTCCAGTAGACATTTAATTTGTTTTCATAAATACTTATTCATAGAAGTCATCTTTCTTGCCTTGCAAGATGCACAGTCAGGGGAAAAAAATGCCATAGATAGAAGTGACAGCCTTATTTCTCAGTAGTTCACATTCCAACCACTAAAACATGCTTACAGAATCAAGAACCCAGAATTATTTCTAATTATTTTAATGAAGTTATTCAGAGTTTCCAGGGACTCTCCTGTGAGTTCTCAGCCCCTGGGGTTTATTCTCCATGCATTCCCTCCCCAGCCCTGTACTTGGCTAATGGCTTCAGCTTTGCCTGCCCACTCTCCTGGTAAGATGTTGGCCCAGAGGCCCAGGAGGGTCCCAAAAGAGCCAGAGAGAACAGTAAAATAGGGAACAGGAAGTCAGATAAGTCCAGATTGTTGGCCCCCAAACATCAGCTCTTGAAATAACAGCTTTAATCCATTTTTGATAGTAGGTCACGTTGGTGTAGACTCCAGGAAGAGATTCACCACATCCTAATCCCCAGCTTACCAGTCCTATCAGGGTCCATACACCATCAATATGACATGACAGAGGCCCTCCAGAATCACCCTAAGGAAGAGATAAAGGTCATGAGCATAGTGAAAAAGGCCTTGAATAGGAGAGTGGCTACAAGAGGTGGAGAGTTCCTTAGAATGGGGCAGTGGAGCCTGCGGAGCAACAGAACTCTAGAGGGAGCGGGACTTTCCCCTGTATTAGGGGGAAAGCACAGGAATTCTAGAATCATAGAATTTGAAACTGGCAGAGATCTTAGCTCAATCTATATATCGATAGTTTAAAAATACTAATTTGTGATAAATTAATGTGATGTTTTTTCACTAAAGTTATTCAGTTGAATGAACTGCCCTTATTTTTATGTTTTTAGGTTCTTACAGCCTTTTTTAGTGTCAAAATAATCCTTTGTTATATAAACAATAGTAATAGTAAGTAGTTGGTGGTATGTCTTTCAATCTTGCTTGTCCTTTCTGTAACAGCCTTATTGTTATAATTCACATACAGTACAATTCACCCATTCAAAGTATACCAGTTTTTTAGTATATTCACAATGTTGTTCAACTATCACCACATTGCATTTTAGAACATTGTCATCACCTCCAAAAGAGGAGTCACCCTCATTTCCTCCCACCCCTCCAGTCCTAGGCCAACTAATAATCAGTCTACTTTCTGCCTTACAAATTTGTATAATCTGGACATTTCATATAAATGGAATAATATTATATGTGACCTTTTGTGTCAGGCTTCTTTCATTAAGCGTACTCTCTTCAAGGTTCATCTATGTTGTATATATTAGTATTCCATTTCTTTTAATGGCTGAATAATGGCAAAATGTGGATATACTACATTTCGTTTATCTAGTCATCAGTTGATGGACATTTTGGGTTGTTTCACATTTTGGCTATTATGAATAGCGCTGTTATTAACTTTTTATGTTAAAGTTTTTATATGAACATATGTTATTATTTCTCTTGTGTGTATACCTAGGAGTAGAATTCCTGGTCGTGTGGTAATTATATTTAACCTTTTGAGGAACTAACGGACAATTTTCCAAAGCAGCTGCACCATTTTACATTCCCACCAGGTGTATGAAAATTCTAATTTTCCCACATTCTTTTCAACTCTTGTCATATCTGTCTTGATTGTCGCCATCCTAGTGAATGTGAAGCCATGTCTCATTTATGATTTGCAAATAATAAATATACAGATAGAAAATCTTGGTAGAGATATAGAAAAGTATGTGTGTGTATGCAAGAGAGAGAGAAGAAATAAAACTAACTGATCATACTAGAACTAAAAAATAAAATATCTGAAAAATTTCACTGGATGAACTTAACAGAGAAATAGAGATAACAGGAGAAAGAGACAATGATTTTGAATATGGATTAATTTAGAGTATCTTGAAGATTAGAAAAAGAGAAAAATAAAATGAATAGATTCTGAAAAGATCAAAAAGTATAACTTACACATTTGTGGTTTTAACCAGAAGAGGAAAAGAGAAAAATGAGGCAGAATAATATTTGAAGAAATAATGAATAAAAATTTTTCAAGTTATGATGAAAGATAAAAGAATATATTTAAAAAGCCAAAAACTCAGCCAGTTCCAAATAGGATAAATACAAAGAAAAGCATATCTAACATATCACAATCAAATTTCTGACAGTCATATATGAAGGAAAATTGAAAGCAGCCAGACTAAAACAACTTGTCATACTCAGTGGAGGAAGACACAAATGATGGCTGACTGTTCATCAGATAGTTATGATCAGGAGACAATGGAATGACATCTTTTGAATATGAAATGAAACATTATTACTTGAAAATATAAAAAGATTGGCAATTCTATATCAACCTCCTAATATATTTAGAAAAATTTACGAGTTTGTAAAAAATCCAGTGACTAGTGGTTAGTTTAGCATTGCACTAGATCAGCAGTTGAAGAGATTAAATTCATATGTAAAAGTTAAGTGACTTGTCCAGGGTAACACAAGAATTATCATCAGAACCCTTGTATCTTGATTCCTAACCCACTATTGTTTACAGGTAGGAATACCTGGATCCACATTAAGACCTTATGTTAAAAAATTTCAGCAGCAGACCCTAACCTTGCAGGAATCCTTCTTATTGTGAATATCACCAGCACAAATCATGTCTTTCTTGACCACTGGGTCTAATTCTGGCAACATGAAGCCGACTGGGTTGTACATATATTCACAAGCTCGGTGGTTGATGATGGGTACTTCTGCTTCCTGGAGGGTGGAACTGTAATCAATACCTGTAAAAATAGACAGGAAAGAAAGGAAAAGCAATCTGGAAAGGTGCAGGGGCATCATTCAGTCATGATGTGCAAAATTTCTGAGTGGGAATTCAAAAGCAGAATGTAATCACTTTCCAATTGTGTGTGCTAGTGGAAGAATGTTTTTCGTACCCTTAATTTAAAACAATGGATAATTCAAAATTACTTTTATTTGTCTGAGGTTTTTTAAATGTGCCAGTGTGGGGTATTCCTAATGTTCCAAATAAAAATTCAGATATGTTTTCATTAAGAAAAGATGTGAGTATTCTAAAACTTTTTCCTTTACCACTTGTCTGCTCTTGTCTTTACTCCATCCTGGGAAACAGGTGACACAAACACTTTAAAAACATTAAGAAAACACTACACTCTCCCCAGTGTTAAGTCAGGTTTGTTAATCTCTTTCAGAGAGGTAATTATGTGTTTAAATTTTTTCATATCTGCTGTTGCAGCTACAGCTAGACTCAAGTCAGGATAGAAGAGCAAATAAACATATAAATGTCAAAAAAAAAGACATTTTATTTGAAGACTTATAGATAATATCACTAGGTTGACCTGGTTTTGTCAAAAAATATTTGTCTCAGTAATGATGTGACTAGAATCTGAACCTTCTGAAACGGGTGGGTATAAGAAGGTGACATATAACACAACCCCTTTCTCTACCCAGTCTCACCTTCATCCCCCTTAACTTTTCCCCATCCAGTCACCCAGCAAGAGCCAGGGATATTCAGCTGCTTTGTGGTATTGGGCAGGCAGATGGGCAGGATGGAAGAGGTGAAGTTAACTCTAGCAACCAGCTTCAATAAGGCGATGTCTGCAGCTATGTCTTGGGATTTGGGATGGAAAATGATTTGGGATACATGATGGTTCACAGTGCCATAGGTTGCTTTAAGTGATCCCAGTGACACAGTATATAACCAAGGAATCCAGGTCCTAAGGGGAAGAGAAAGTGGAGCACATCTGTTACAGTTGGGTCAGAACAACCTATTTGGGTGCAGCAAGCAGTAAGACTGTAAGAAAGGGGTGTACCAGACTGGGAATTAACCAGGCAGCTTCCAGCCTGGACTAGGGTGGTTTGTCTGCTTTTCTTCTTCCCGCCTTCCTGACGACTATTTTTGTTATTGTTCTTTACTGTTTCTGTGATCTCCTCTTACATGCTTATGGCGCCTTTTGTCCTGCATTTCCTCCCTCCCTGGCTCTCTTGTTCACCTCTCCCATTCTCCATGGTTTCAGCCATCACCTGTGTGCTTACTAGTCATTGGGTTTTTTATTGCCAGTTTTGATTTCTGAGCACTAGAGCTTTATTTCTAAATAACAATGTAAAGTGAAGTATAATCATCAAAGTTATATATATATGTATATATATATATATATATATACTATTTAAAATGTCAAGTAGCTTGAAAAGATGTACTAAATAAAAAGTGCTCTGCTCTACTGCCCTCAGTTCACACTTATCCAAAGGCAGTCAATTTCAACTCTTAGCTATGTCTTTTAGTATTTTCCTTGTTATTTTCAAGAAACTCTATTTACTGCTATTCATTTAGTTTTAGAATATTGTATTCCTATTGTGAAAGGCGAGGATTGAGCCAATAATTACTGCCAACCTTCTACTTCCTTTTCAGCATCCTCCTAACCAAGTATAATTTTTTGTTAGATCAATAGTTCATGTGTATGTTATTGTGACTACATAAACATTATTTACTGCTGGACCATATTGGGTCCTGTGAATACATTTCTTATAAATATTTTTGTTTGTCCTGGGGTTAATAATGGGATCTCGCCTTTTTGTTTTGTTTTCTAATTACCTATCATTAAGTGATCATTCATCCCCCACATTCTCTGCCAGAGCGTAAATCTCTCAGTATGTTAAAATCTTCAGGCATTCTATCAATACCTTTTTTTTTTTTTTAAGCCATCTGCCCTCTTGCTCCAATTCCAGTCTTGGTATTTTCCTTTATCATTTTCCTAGGATTCTCTTTTATGTTGTCTCTCCTTTTTTCCGGATCCCATAATTCCCTGTGTTTTCCCCCTTTATTTTGTTCAAGGACATTTTCCTGAGAAAATGTGCAGGAGAGATAGTATTTTTGCTGTTTTGTATATTTGCAAATATCTTGTTTCTGTCCAACACTTAATCAATAGTTTGCATATGGGTAGAATTCTAGGTTGGAAATAATTTTCTCTCAGTATTCTAAAGTTGTTTCTCATTTTCTTTGAGCTTTCAGTGTTGTTATTGAAAAGTCCCGTCATTTTGATTTCTGTATATATTAGTTATCTATTGTTGAATAACGAGTTACCACACAAGCTTAGAGGCTTAAAACACACACTCATCTCACACTTTTCTCACTTATCTCCTGGGCCAGGAATCAGGTGTGGCTAGCTGGGTGCCTCTGGCTCAAGCTCGTTCACGAGGCCGCAGTCAGGTGGGCTGCAGCCATCTCCAGGTTCACTCTGGGAGGATGTTTCCAAACTCCCTTACATTCGCAGACTTTGCATCTTCATTAGGTATTGACTAAAAACATTAGTTTTACATGGGCTTCTCCCTAGGCTACTCACCACATGGCACCTTGCTTCTCTCAGCAGTTCTGGGAGAAAGCTCAGGTTGTGAGTTTACGACCCCCAACAAGCTTTAGACAAAACTCCCTGACTGGTGTTTAGAAATCAGTTTGGCAAAAAGAAAAGTTTCTAATACAGTGCCTATTTTCATTATTTATTTCTTTTCCTACCTCTGTGCCCTGTCCCTAGTCCAAGGTGACCTGTGGTTTCTGCTTACCCATCTTACCACTTTCCTTTGTCTGTTGGTTCATTCATGAAACATTCACGCTTCCGGAGACCCTGTCTGTGGCCTAGGCATTAGCTAGAACTCACGTTTGGATGCAGTGTGCTGCCGTCAGGATCCACCTGTCGCTGATGAGGCAAGCTCCGCAGACCTGAGTCAGGCCAAAGTACAGGCCGGCCTGCCAAGGCCAGCGCCCCGCGGGAGCATCCTGGCCTCCCACTACCCGGCCTGAGTATGCAGGTTGTCCACACACTAGAGAAAGAAGAGAGAGGGAAACATGGATCTCAGTGTCCTGTGGTTCCTGTTTTCTCATCATCCCCAAATGCCATTTCTAGGACCTGCTTCCTCCCCAGCTCCATATGCCATCCTATTCCAGTTCCAAACCCAGTAGTTTTGGGCCCAAATGGAGACCACTCACCTGCCTGCTGGTCTTTCTTTTTGGAAGAACAGCATGGGCAAGACCCTAAGACAGACACACCGTATCATTAATATATAATAACACAATATCTTAATTCCCTGAACGAGGCTTTCCACTTATTTAAATTCCTCTGATTGGCATTCAAGGCAAAATTTTTATAACTGTTCACCCATTACTGGGAAGTCTTGATAATTATTACATACCCGCCTGCCTTTTTTAGCAGCATACATGGAATATAATTTAATTTTTACTTGGTGATTCAAGGTTGCCATCAGGAATATCAAGATGTTAGGTTGTAGATATGATGATGCCTTCAGATGCTGCCCATGTTTATAAGCTGTTTACTTTTGTCCTGTTTTCTTTAACTGAATTGGCATTTTGCAGTATTTGTGTATCTTTCCTTTTTGCCACCTGTTATGGCTACTCTCAGCCTATCTTGCTTTTGAATCGCCAGAAAAATAAATGAACAAGCTTATGCCTGAAAGCACTGAACAGCGTTTGTGCTTTTAGTTCCCTCTGCTTGAATTTCTCTTTTCCTAGAGCCTCTTAGTCAAATTATTCACCTGCTTCAAGTCTCTGCTCAAATGATTCCCCCTTAACGAAAACCTCGTTGCCTACCCTATTTAAAATTACAACATGCCTCTTCCATGCACTGCCCCTTTCCTGTCATAGTGTCTGTTACTTCCTGATGTGCTACATAATTTGCGTGTTCAACATGTGTATTGATCATAAGGCCCACGAAGGCAGAGATCTCTGTTTTGTTGACTGCTCTATCTAAGATACTTGAAAAGGCGCCTGGCATGTAATATCCTCTCAGGATTTTCTCGGGGCACACTACTGTAAGTCAAATCACATGAGCGAAGTGTCATCTTATTCTAAACGGTAACTTCTTGAGCCAGAAAACCTCTCCTCCCCTCCCCAGCCCACCTGAGGGGCTCACCCAGCAAAAGGGACAGCAGGAAGACACAGCCAGCAGGGCCCATGTCCCTGTCCTCAGAAACTGCACTTCCTGCTTCCTGGACTCAGGCTCCCAGGCAGACGCCAGAAGAGGGGCAGGACCAGCTTTCCCTCCTGGATGGAGTCCTCTGCTTCACCCCTTTCTCTCCTTTGACTTTCACTCAGGGCCAGGCACCGAAGGGACCAGACTTGAGAAGAGCACCGCACCTAGAAAGAGGAGCGGGTGGTGGGGAGGGGGGCGGCCTGAGGCGCCCCCTGCTGTGCGGGAAGAGCGGACGCCTGCTGGGTGGGGGAGGGGTGGGTGCAGTGGCGACGCCAAGGCAAGTTAGGGGCACAGGAAGAAACCGGGCCCTTTTCTCTAGCAAGGAAGCGGAAGATGGGCAGGGGTCTTCAAAAGCAAGAAATGGAAAAGAGAATCAGTTTTTCCTTATTTTTTCCTGGCTGATTTTTCCTTATTTTTTTCATCTTCTTTACAGTGTTAGCTGGAAAATATACCACGAGTCAGATTATTTGGGCAATACTTTAATGATAAGAGATTTGTGGGCAAGAAGTTTCGTGGGTTGTGAATCAGGATCAACACCTCAAGGTGGGTTGGAAGTAGGACTGGACAGAGGGAGAGTCAAACTAATGCATTGGCAGTGGATGTCTCTGAGCCAATGGCACAAGTTCCCCTGAAGCTGGAGTTGACCTGCAGAGATGTCCTGAACTGAGGCAGAAGGCCGGGCACGTGGACTTCTGCATGGTTGGATGCAGGCTGCCTCCAAGAACGGGGCATTACCTTAAGTGGGAGGCTCTGTTGGCGGTTCTTGGAATGGGACTTAGCTGTGAACTGTCGCTGCTGCTGGTTGCTGGGAGAATGAATGGGTTCAGTCCCGAAGGAGGATCTGGGTGGTGCAGCACAGCGCCTGCCACAGAACCCTTCTCTGTGCCTTTCCTGTTTTCTAGACCGATTGTTTGTAGAGAACTAGGTCTGTAGAGGCAGGATTCAGTGGACTCTTAAAGCATAGTAGTAGCATATTATTGTTCTCTTGTAGCTTAAAATATTGGGAGGTCTGAAAGATACACGTGAACAATTAAAAAGTAATAGAAGCCCAGAAAATTTAACTGCTTTGATAAGGTTTATTCAGTTACAAGCAACAGAGAATCACTGAACCCAGCTCAAACAAAAAGAGGATTACTTTAAAGATATTGTTATGGGCTGAAATGTGTCTCCCCCAAAATCATATGTTGAAGTCCTAACCCCCAGTACCACAGAATGTGACCATATTTGGAGATTGTCTATAAAGAGGTAATTAAAGTAAAATGAGGTCATTAGGGTGGGCCCTGGCCTGACATCAATGTTGTCCTTGTAAGAAGACAAAATTTGGAAGGCGAAATTTGGACATAGACTCATACAGAGGCAAAAGTTGGCCATCCACACACTAAGGAAGCCTGGAATACTCTCCCCTCATGTCCCTCAGGAGGCCCCCTTGACACCCGGATCTCAGACCTCTCGCCTCTATATAACTGTGAGAAAAAAACGTCTTGTTGTTTAAGCGGCCCATCTATGGTACTTTTGTTAGAGCATCCCCAGCAAAGGAATGCAGGTATCTATGGAACAAAAAGGAAAACAGAGTAGCTAGGACATCTCGGGGTACCATAGGACCGACCTGATGACCCCGGTAGGAGAGGAGAGCTGTAAGGATACAGGTTCATGCCCGTGAACTAGCTGTCTTTGGAGTAAGTGCCCCTATGCCTGAAGCGGGGGGTGGGCGGGTGCAGAGTACGGCCAGATGAGCAGTGGAGACAGTGGTGGGGCAGGTGCTGGATTATCTGTATCTCAATACGGTGAGATGTCTGCCTCTTTAAATACATTTCTTTTTCAGATATTAGAAGTGAACACTTGAAAAAAATAATTTTTCCATTTACTTTTTTATTGACACTATTACAGATGCCCCCCATTGCTCCCCCTCCTTTGAGCTCCTCCACCCAGTCCCGCTCACAGCTGTGTGCCTTCACCACAGTGTTGTCTGTCTGTGCCCATGGCCATGCATATATGCATACATATCCTTTGGCTAATCTCTTCCAGGACCCCCACTCCCCACCCCTCTGAGATCTGTCAGTCTGTTCCATGTATCCATGCCCCTGGTTTTATTTTGTTTGTCAGTTCATTTTATTCATTAGATATGAGTGAAATCATGTGGTATTTGTTTTTCTCTGACTGGCTTATTTCACTTAGCATAATATTCTCCAGGTCCCTTTGTTGCAAAGGGTAAGAGTTCCTTCTTTTTTACAGCTACGTAGTACTCTGCTGTATAAATGTACCACATATTTTTTATCCATTCATCTAAAATATATAGACCCATTTACTTTTTACTGACTGCCACAACTATGAATTTTTACCTGATTTATATTTTTCAGATCCATTCTTCTTTATTTGTATCTTGATGGAGATGAGAATCTACTACTACTATTTATTTTAGTTCCTTCATAGATTTTTTTTTTAGTGGTTCTTCTTTTAGTCACCTGTTTTTGTGTGTGTGGTTTATACATTCATTCTGATTATGTGTTTATCATGCACTGTGCTTTTTATCATATATAATTATTCTTTTAGTGATTTTCACCTTGATTTTTTCTGAAATTAATATTGCAACATGTGATTTTTGTCCTAATTTAATTGAACAAAAAGGTTTATTCCTATCACAACCATCTGGGTGGGTATTTCAATTAACTTATAGTATTCACAGACCATTTTATCTATTTAGTCAACTTATTTAAGTATAGCTTCTAAAAAAGTCAGACCTCAGTTTGAGATTTGCCTTCAAGTCATGTTTGGAGTAAAGGTAGTCATTTTGCAAGACACCAAAGCTCTGGACAAGTCTTTCTATTGATTTATCAAAGGAACAAAAATTTGACCAGATATTCTTTTCCCTCTGAGGGTCTGTGGTTGTCCTACATCTTTGGACTTTTATTTCCCTGCATAAATCTGGTCACTAGTCAGTACTATTTACGTGAGTTGGGTGGTTCATAGAGTCTTTTCTTTTTCCTTTTAAGTGTTTTATAAAAATGTATTTTTGGTTTTGGTTCTAGTTTAGTTGGAAATAAACTTTATTGGGAGTAACTAAGATATCAGCACTTTACTTGGAAATTGAAAGTAAAAGGAAAGAATTAAATAGTTATCTTGCTTTTACTGTCCAAACTATAGTTCAGAGTAACAAAATGGTTTAGTTCATGAGGGAAGAATTCCAGCTAATAAATGTGGTTGGACTGATAGAACTTGAAAAGCATCGCTTGCAGCCCCTCATTAGATTGATTCAGGGGATGATTATCAGTAGCTGAAAGCAGATGAAAGGTTGATGGGTTGTTGAGGGCATTACCATTCGAACCCTGTTGTCAATCGTAGCATCGTGGAAAGTAGGGTAAGGCGGGCACGTGCCTCCTGATGTGACATAGTATCAAGCAACATCCAGTGAAGTGTTCTTGTCCAAAAATGTGACCTCTCTCAAGTTTCTGCTACATACAGCAAATATAGGGATAAAAGAGTAGGTTAAATTACAACACAACGAGCTTAACAGTCAAATCCATAATGTGCTATATTTTATGAAACAACTGACCTGGTTTCTATAGTAAGTCAATTATGTGAGGGTAAAAACGGAGGAAACACCTCTAGATGAAAAGAAACTTAAGAGGCAAGTGTGTGCATGTCCCTTGTTTGGATTATGATATAACAAACCAACTCCAAAAGACATTTTGATACAAGGAAGCAAATTTGGTAATAAACTGGGTATTAGATGGTATGAAGGAATTATAGTTAATCTTGATAGGTGTAATAATGGCCTTGAGATATGTAAGAAAGTGTTCATTTTTGAAAAGGGAGTTGGAATTGTGAGTCCTTTCTAAATCTAAGCTAAACTCTTTTGTCATACTGGAGAAATCTGTGGCTTTCAGCTCACAGTGCTACTCTGTCATTTTGATGGGGATGGCTCTATGACCTTCAGCAAGTCCTTTCCCCCAAGACCTTTGTTTTACTATTGTAACATGAAGGAATTATAGGTAGTCATTGATCTCAAAGATTCTTGATAGATGTAACATTAAATTATGCATTGCTCATTCACCTATTTATCTTTATTTTTGTTATTACCTCCATTTTTCCTCTGCAGATATTGTCTTATTTCTGGTTTAGCAACCATGAAACATGTTGGGTTTGCCGTTTCACCACCCCCTTGCTTCTTCTAAGATAAGGACTTGCCAAGAAGTTGGAAGCAAGAGAGCAGGTGCTTAGCGGCCCCTCCACTGGCCTTCCTGAAGACAGCTCTCCGGCTCCCTGGTCCTGCTCTATCTCCAGGTCTTAGATTCTTCGTTCTCAGATCACTACCTTGTTATCATTAGTTATCTGTAAATATCTCTGCTGTACACAAAACTGCTGGTTTGGGAAGTGGCAATATATTGTTGGTGGTAAGAGATTTCATATTTCTCGTGTGGCTCTGGCTAAGTGACAGCCTTTCCATCTCTGTAAAATGGGAATGATAATGCCACAAAAGATTTTTGTAAGAATTAAATAAAATCCAGGGCATGTTCTTAGCTTGGATTTCGCTTATTTATGCATGCAATAATACATCGTAGCTGCTGTTTTTGTGGTTGTTGAACTAATATTCCAGTTTTATTTTTATTTATTTTACTTTTTTATTGAATATATTAAGGTGACATTGGTTAATAAAATTATATCGATTTCAGGTATACTGTTCGATAATGCATCATCTGTATAGTATATTGTGTTCACTCCAAGCCAAGACTACTTCCATCACCGTCCCCTGCCCCCCGCCCCCATACCCTTTTCTACCTCGCTTTCCTCCTGGTAATCACCATACTGTTGTCTTTATCTATGAGTTTTTTTCCTTTTTTGCTTAATCTTGTCACCTTTTTCACCAGCCCCACAACCCCTCTATCTATGAGTCTGTTTTTGTTTTGTTAGTATATTTTGTTCATTAGATTCCACATATGAGTGAAATCATATGGTACTTGTAGTTCTCTGATTCTTGAAAACAGG